AAATTTTGGTACATTACCTTTTGGTGCCCCAATTTACTTTTCTTACAATTGAGTACCTAAATTTTTAAATTTACAAAAAAGTCCATAAATTTTGGTGTTAAAATTACATTTTTGTTCCTTTGTTTTGTCTCACACTATAGTACCTAAAATCTTACAAATAGGTCAAATCTTTTATCAGGAGGTATTTCAAATCACTAGTTGTTGAAATGTATTTGAAGTTGACAAGTAATACACTAGACATGTATTTGGAATCACCCCATGAATTTGGTAGAAATCCAAATTTGATTTCATAATAGTTTATATTGATGATGTCCTAGTTTTTTCTTCGTCCATTGACCAACATTTCAAACATCTCAATTTATTTCTTGAAGTCACTCGACGTAATGGTCTGGCTGTCTCTAAACCAAAACTCTCATCGTGAGCAGTGTCTCCGCTGACAATTTATAAATTACTAATATGTTTCTCTGCGAGATCTTCACTTCCATCATACAACCGAAACCAGCTAAGGAAGGAGCGAGGCGAGATCCTTAATGACCAAAATAAGCTCGGGTAAAGAAGAGGAAGAGTGGGCAAAATCTTTCAATTTTGATACAAGAGTATCTAAAGCTCGGGAACTTATTAACGAAGCGGAACAAGACAAGTTTAAGCTACTTAGCATGGGACATATAAACTAAAGTGCCTTTTGAACGAGTGACGTTTGAAAAGCGAAAGTCTTTTTCTTTTCAAACTAAGATACGTTTTTTGGGTCACTACATTAGTCAAGGAACAATTGTTCCAACGAAAGATCTCTTCAATTTGCAGATAAATTTTCTGATCAAATTTTAGACAAAAATCAATTACAGCGGTTCCTTGGTAGTTTAAATTATGTCCTTGACTTTTATCCAAACATCAATCTTCTTTGTAAACATCTCCATGATAGATTGAAAAAGAGTTCCCCTCCCTGGAGTGACCAGCATACCAAAATAGTTCAGCAAATTAAAAGGCAGGTTCAGAGTCTCCCATGCCTTCACATAAGTGATCCTTTTCTCCCTAAAATCGTCGAAACCGATGCCTCTGACCTAGGATATGGAGGAATCCTTAAGCAGATTCAAAATGATAAGGAGTTGTTGGTACACCTTACTTCTAAACATTGGAACCCTACCCAAATCGATTACTCCACTGTCAAAAAAGAACTGCTTGCTATTGTTTTATGCATCTCAAAATTTCAGCATGATTTGCTCAATCAAAATTTTTTACTATGCATTGATTGTCAATCAGCAAAATACATTTTGGAAAAAGATGTTCAAAATCTTGCTTCTAAACAAATATTTGCACGATGGCAAGCCATCCTTAGCACTTTTTATTTCGACATACAATTTATAAATAGTTCTTCAAACTCTCTTCCAGACTTCCTTACTCAGGAATTTTTGCAGGGAGGACAAAGTGCGGAAAACTCTTAGGCTTGCAATCCTCAGTCATAATACCCCTACCACTAGATTACGAGATAAAGAGAAAATCAAAATCAAAACATGGAGAGAGATATTTGATGATGAACAAGGAAGTCCTGATCATTCAAGTGAGTATGAAGAAAGTTCTGATGATTCTGGTTCACACTCAAGTTCATCCAAAACTTTAATCAATATTGATAAGCTTTCTCTTGAAGCTCAAAATTACCTTCAAAAATTTATTGCAGTTTCTGGTTCTAAACAAAAGCTTTCCACTGAAGCTTCAACTTCCTCAACAATTTCCCCTTCTAAACTAATTCTTTCAAATACTCAAACGCCAAGTGGCATCCTACCGACACCCATCTCTTGTGAAGAAACCAAACAAATCTATCAGCAAGATCATCTTGATGTTGCACCTACCTCAACAGAGGTAGCATCTTCGATAGCCCCTCTCAAAACTATTTTTCCCAAACCCAAGAGGTGGTGGTTGTCCAAGCCCCTCAAAATCGATTTCAAACGTATTTTAAGAAAAACACTTTTCAACCCATTTTCATTGTCGAAGATGGTTTCTACCATCAATATCCTAATGTTACTGCCAAACATTTTCTCAATGAGTGGTTCTTCAAACCAAGATCCCTCAACAAAACTCACAAATATTATGAACTTATCCTCACAGAAACTGGATCAGTCACCTTTTCCCACAAATTTGATCATTCAGACAAAACACTCAATACCCACTCAACCTGCAAAATCCACCAAATTATCTACCCTCGCCAATGGCCTACTAGCCCAAACACCAACCAAAAATTCCCTGCTACTATTGCTCTTAACCACCAGCAAATCTGTCAATCCTTCAATTACTAGGATTACCATGAAGTTTGGATTAATGCCTTCTTCAAGCAAAACAATATGTACCGACACTCCTGGAGTTTTTTCTTGGATTACAAAACTCCCATTATTTTCCCCTGCTGGTTTATGCACTGGTGGGTTCTTTTTGGGCCAACTGAAAATATCTATCCAGCTGAGATAAAAGAGGGATATCAAACCTTCTGTCAAAAATATTCTGGTCTAGGATTACCCCTCCTCAAATTTTGTTACTACATCAAAGTTCCTTGGATTACAGCCTGGGAATTCAGTTACCAAACCTGTGCCATCACAAAGGTACCCATGTTAGGCCGCAACTTCAAAACAAAATATTGGGCTGAAAATCCTCGCCCAGAACAAGCATACAAACCTCAAGTCCTCCAATGGTTCAATAACAATCCTGAACTGTCCAAATTTATCGAAAAATCCTCAATGCAATTTTTGCAAACGAAATCCTCAATCAACGCTCTCTTAGCTAGCGCCAAGACTGAAGAAGAATACTTCCAAATTCTCAAAGATGTGGCGTCTAGCTCAACATCTGACGGAGATTCCACGTTCCAAAACCATGACCCGGATGAAGAAGTGCTTGGTCCTTTGCCAACAAAGAGCACTAAGTTGAAGACAAAGAAGAAGTGACCCCATTGCTTCTTCCACTATCATAAAGACAAAGAAGAAGTGACTCCACTTCAAACCCACTATCCTAAAGACAAAGAAGAAGTGACTCCACTTCCAACCCACTCAATTTGGTTATGGAAAGAAGCCCACAAATTATCTATTTTTCTTTATATTTATATTAAAAATGTAATTTTGTTATGACATGTGATAATATATAAGTGTCCACATTGTCATCATTATGCTTTTCAATTAATCTACCAAAAGGGGACTCCATTTCTCTATAAAAGGAGACTCCCTTCACTTGTTGTAGTAGAGTTGTTTTGAGTGGGAATTGCTCTCTTGCAAAGCTTCCTCCCATCATCTTCTCTCAAGAATTCATGTGTAAGAAGTCTATCAAACTATCAAGTTTTACTTCATCTTTTTTCAAATCATCTTCAACTTTTAATTATTTCGTGCATAACTGGTCATCTCCAATATTTATTTTACGCAAAACTGGTCATCTCTAGTATTTATCTTCTGCTAATCTGGTCATCTCCGGTATTTACTTTTTGCTAATCTGGTCATCTCCAGTATTTATTTTTTTCTAATCTGGTCATTTCCAGTATCATTTACTTTACAAACTATTTTCAAGTTAATCTCATATTGGTTGTCTCATTCCGTCCTTACTAGTATCAGAGCCAAAGTGCTCTCTTAACAGACATAATTGGGGGCAAATACCTTGACTAATTTCATTCATATGCATCAAAAGGAGGATTGATGTCATTGATCGAGAAAGAAAAATATTTATCTATTCTAAATCGAAACTTATTAAGTACTATACAAACCTTTAGAAACGAGCTATAATATGTTCCATAAAAACTAGAACAAGTATATGCATATCTATACAAGAGACCTATATCTTCAAACCTGCCATACTTGTATAGGACTTGACAGGATTTGGGTGATGGATTTGGCAACCAAATTGCAAGTATCAAGGACTTGACACAAATATATTGTTTGCTAATGAACAAAAATTTGTGGGACCCCACGGATTTGCAAATCCAAAATTTCATTTGGGATTTGATAATGAAAAACAAAAATGTGAGACATGTCCATCGTAAATTCATAATGCAACAAATCCATCCGAAATCTAAAGGTTTTTAAAACTCAAAACCCTCATTTTCCTATTCAACAAGCGAACGAGCCCATTTTTCATTATCTATAATCAGTTACCTCTTCCATCACCATCACTCTTCATTTGATTGCTCAGCTACATGGGAGAAAGAAACATATGACTCTTCAAATAAGATTACCAATTGTATCAAATTTATTCGCATCATCTTTCCATCAACACACAACTCATATAAGCATATCTTCCCAAATAGCTAGGGGAGGAAAGGAAACACAAACGAACACATACTCTTTGACGGAGTTCCATCGACAATCAAAGCCTCTAATGGTGAGATTGTCGTTGAGGAAGAATAGGAAATCCTTCAAGTCAATTTTCCCATTTTACAAAATGAGTCATTTAAAATGAGTCAATTCAAATCGTCTGCTTCACCTCAGAAAATTTCAATAGGCTCAAAAATAATCAATTTGAAATTCGTTAGGAACTTCATCTAAATTTTATGTCGCTAAACGGATCAATTTGACCAAAATATCTCAAACTGAAACAATTGGATCAAATTAATATATTAGAATTCGTTATCAAAACGACCCCTCAATTCCATCAATCCGTAATTGGAGATGAACCAATAATTTGGATTTTATTATAACTAGATATGTCCTTTCGCTTGCAAGAAATAACACTTTAGATAATTGAAAATAACACTCTAGATATATTTAGCAAAATATAACTCTCAATACATAATTACAAACCATCAAGAAAAATCACAAAGATAGTGTGAGAGAGTTCTGTAGCAGTTTACACTTGCTTGATGTTAGAATATGACTTGAATTTGATTTGGGTTTGATTTGTGTTTTGGGCCTATTTTGTTTGGGTTTGTGTTTGAGCTTTGTTTTGACGTTTTCCTTATATGTTTGGGAAAAGTGTTTGGTTTTCTGTTTGGGATTTGGAGAAGAGTTCTATAAATACTCTTCATCACCCTAACCTGTAGTAAGGTCAGTCAGGTTAGTTTGTTTGGTTTGTTCGTTTCGGAATTTGGTTTGTAACATGTACTCTCCTCAAAATCAGTGAAATTTGTTCTCCCCTGCTCGTAGATTAGCTAACACACATTGTGTTAGTGAACCACGTTAAATTTGTGTTCGTTTGTCGAACTCTAGATTATCGTTTGCATGCTTCTGTTTTGACAAGTGGTATCAGAGCCTTTGGTTGCGGTTTTGGGAATTTGGTGCTGGATTGAAGTTTTGCACTGAGAATTTTGGTTGGAGTTTGTTTGATAGCAAGGATGGCTGCTATCAGTATGAAGATTGATAAGTTTACTAGGAGAAAAAGTTTCAGTTTGTGGCAAATCAAGATGCAAGCACTGTTGAAACAACAGGGTTTGTGGGCTCCGTTGTCTGAGAAATCAAAGAAGCAAAGCATAGATGAAGAAGAGCGGATTACTTTGGAGGAGAAAGCTCACTCTACAATCTTGCTTGTTTTGGCTGATGACATCATCACTGAGGTTGCTACTGAGAAGACTGCCGCGGGCTTGTGGTTGAAGCTTGAAAGTATATACATGACAAAGTCTTTAACCAACAAGTTGCATATGAAGCAACGTTTGTTCAGTTTGCGTATGGAGGAAGGTATGCCTCCCAGGAATCATCTAGATCAACTCAATACTATCTTGTTAGATCTGTGGAATATTGATGTTAAAGTAGATTATGAGGATGCTGTCTTAATTCTGTTAGTATCTTTGCCACAGTCATATGAGAATTTTGTGGATTCTTTTATTGTTGGGAAAGATAGTTTGTCTTTGGAAGATGTCAGATCTGCTCTACATACTAGGGAGGTTCGAGATAAGGCGTCTGGTTCAGGTTCGGAAAATCAGGCATCTGGGTTGGCTGCTACGGGAAGTAGTGGACAACAATCTAGTAATAGGAAGGCGAATATAAATTCGAATTGTGTTGGCTAGAAGAATGATATCTGTCATTACTGTAAGGAGAAAGGGCATTGGAAATTCGATTGTCCTAAACTAAGAAATATAAGGAGAAGAAGGAATCATCTGTTGCTGTGGCGGAAGAAAGTAGCTCCGATTCTGAAGATGGTTTAGCCTTAGCAGTGAATGAACAGGTACATCATCAGGATGTGTGGTATTTAGATACTGCAGCTGATCATCATATGTGTCCGAGCAGGGAGTGTTTTTCAACTTATGAACATATAGATGGAGGACATGTTTCTATGGCCAATGGTGCTATCTGTAAGATTGTTGGAAGAGTATCCGTCCGGATGAGGACACATGATGGTTTTGTTCGCACCTTGAACAATGTTAGGCATATTCCAGAGATGACTAAGAATCTGATATCTTTGAGTCTACTCGACGGTAAGGGTTTCAGTTTCAAAGGTGAAGTTTGAGTGCTGTCTGTCTACAAGGGTTCTAAGATGATTTTGAAAGGTGTCAAACGGGGTGTCTTGTATAATCTACAAGGTTTTGTTTTGACATGTTTTGTTGGTGATAAGTGCACCAAGCTGGTTCTGAATGGCAAGTCTCAACATGGGTTGGACTTGCCGAATGGTTTGAGTTGTTGACCACCCTTAGGGGCATTTGGAGTCAGGGGAGATTCTGGTACAACTGATTTGGAGAAGTTGGGTACATCTGACAACTTTGGTTGCATCTGGTACATCTGGCAACTTTGGTTGCGTTTGGTACATTTAGTAATTGAGAGAAAATTCAAGTCAAGGTGGAGATTGTTAGAATATGACTTGAATTTGATTTGGGTTTGATTTGTGTTTTGGGGCTATTTTGTTTGGGTTTGTGTTTGAGCTTTGTTTTGACCTTTTTCTTGTATGTTTGGGAAAATGTGTTTGGTTTTCTGTTTGGGATTTGGAGAAGAGTTCTATAAATACTCTTCATCACCCTAATCTGTGTAAGGTTAGTCAGGTTAGTTTCTTTGGTTTGTTCATTCCGGAATTTGGTTTGTAACCTGTACTCTCCTCAAAATAAGTGAAATTTGTTCTCCCCTGCCCGTGGATTAGCTAGCACACATTGTGTTAGTGAACCACATTAAATTTGTGTTCGTTTGTGGAACTCTGGATTATCGTTTGCACGCTTGCGCTCTGACACTTGCCAATGAGGCTACGAATCCACACATTATTGAGTAAGAATAGCCTATTTTATTTAGCAAAGAGATAAATTATTATGCATCTATTATGCCCAACAAACAAAAATAAAAAATAACTTAGAATTTAACACGGATTTTCAACTAAGTTGGAAAAGGGAAGAAAAATACATAATATGAAAAAATCAACAAAAATTATGCATTCCGTTGCTTCTAATGTTACTTCCGTCCTTTTTGATTGAGAGTGAGAAATTACATCATTAACTTCCTATTCGACTCGAGCGAGAGAAATGAGTAAAAATGCAAAACCACAAACGAAAGTCAGTCTCGAATGCAAGAGAATAGTAAGAATACAAAACCAAATACGAAAAAATCGGTTTCAACACAAGGAACAAAAAATTATCTTAATGAATAGAAAACATGGAACCATGACTTTTATAAACCAACAATTATAAAAGTCATGGTTAAGAGGAAAGAAATAGGGAGATAATGAGTTATAACAAAAAGAGAGAAACTATTAGACAATTGCCAAAGTACTCCTTGAAAATTTATCCTTAAAATTTGAAAATTACTAAAACTCCTCTTAATGAATAGTAAACATGAAATCGTGACTTTTATATACCAAACAAATTTATGACACCAACGAATTTTAAAGTGGGGGAACCTACAAATTATAATAGATCTGCAATTCGAATACAACACAAGTTCTTCTACCATTCATATGATTGTAGTCACTACCAACGGCAATGGGAGATAACATGAAGAAGATGAAAATAGAAAATCGCATTTACCATCGGTAGATCCATTCCAGCAGCTGGTAAAACCAGAAGAAAATTTGAAAACTTTTCTGAAAGAGTGAGAAACGAAGAAAATGACCGGAAGAAGGTAAAAGTGGAAACTAATTAAGATAACTTTGAACATAATTTTTTTTTTGAATCCTTTTAACAGAAAATTTTAAACACGCATATGGCACTACTGTTTTTTTCTTCTTTTCAATATGATACTATTAAGCAATGTTGTCAGAATCGAACCGGAGCATGACCCGATAATGTGAACGACTCGTACTTTAGTGGTCCAACCGGTATTAAACCGTGAAAAAGTCGTTAGAGAACCGGTATCTTATAAAAATTAATATCATAAGTAGAAGACACATAAGGTACTAATTTAATAATTTAATGACTAAAATAAAATTTAATTCATGTATTACTTTGTAATTTTCCATTATATAATAATTTTCAAAGTGCAAATCCTAGCCTAATGATACTACACCACTACCTCCCCACCCCACGCCATTCTCATTCTTCCCCGCCGCTCCTCCCCTCTTTCCCACGAAAAGAGAATCTCTCTCCCCCACCCTCCTTCTTGCTCTCCTTAACGCCGCCGTAGCTTCCCATTTCCCTCTTCAATCGCTGTTACCATTCTCTTGTCTTCTTCTACTATTCTTTTTTCCCTTCCCCTTCGCATGTTCTCAGAGCTCCGCCCCTACCCGAATTTTTCCTCTTCTCCAATCTCTCTCGATTACAAACAATTCAGGTCGTCGTCTTTCCTTGTCGAGAACCCGGAAGGTGATGGTGACCAGATTCAGTTTTTTCTAAGTGGAGGCAGGCGAGTGTTTAGCAAAATTAGGGTTCCAAGTTTCGCCAGACTTTTCAACCCATAATTTTGCATTTTATATTTTCGTTTTTATTTTAAAATCAGGCGGCCCAAAATGAAAAACCGATTGAACGGTCTGAGCGGTTCGCACGATTAACCATGTTGACAGCTCACCTACCGGCCATTTGACCCGAAGCGGCTATTTAATTGATCCGAACCGAGATGACAACCGGGTGTCGGTTTTGGCGGTTGGACCGACAAGCTCGGGTCGGTCTTGATAACAGTGCTATTAAGTATTAACCAGACACCAGTATTCAAATCAAGGATTCGTAATGCTTTTGGAAGGCCAATTGAGACCGAAGCGAAGCAAAGCAGGCAATCAATTCCACGATGCCCTACAGGATAAAACAAACTAATAAACATTGTCACGAGGGAGCAAAATCTGGGATGAGTATCAACTATCCAGCAAAGCAATGACCTAAAGCCACCTACCTAACCAACGAAAACCAAACTTTTGCCGAATTCCTTTACATGCTTGTATTTTTGTATTCGTTTCCTTGGATTTTGCGGCTTCCTCTGTTCTTCCGCCTCTCCCACTCTCCAAAGCCCAAAGCTTTCCCATCCTTCGTATTCTTCTATTTCCCATCGACCAAAGTCTCGACATTTTCCAGTATCTCATCCCTTGATTCCTTTTAATCGACACAACCCTTCTCCTTGTTCATCAAATTGACAATACCCAATTATTGTTTTCTCCTCAGAGCTCCCAGACCAGGCATATAGAAAAACTGAGTTCCAGTTTTCGTTTTCATGGGAAGGTGCTCGCTGTTTGATCTCGAGCGGCACTTCGCCTTCTATGGAGCTTATCACAGCAACCCAACTAACATTCTGATTCACATGATATTCGTCTGGCCGATTCTCTTCACTGCCCAATTGATTCTCTACTTCACGCCTTCTTTACAGCCCAAGTTTGAGTTCTCCCTCTTGGGGATCGATGCCTTTCTAGTTCTCAATGTCGGGTTGTTGTTTACAGTGATCTATGGTGTTTTCTATATCTGTTTGGATAAGAAAGCTGGCTCCTTGGCTGCTCTGCTTTTGCTCTTCTGCTGGGTAGCCAGCAGCTTCTTGGGTTGCTGGCTCGGATTCTCCCTTGCTTGGAAGGTGGGACGAAAGTGAAAAGGAACATGATTTTTTTATATATCGCTTTCTCACCTATGTTGATTGTAGTTCCTCTGATCGTGTTTCTGAAATTCGTAAACTGAAGTCGTTGTGATTTTGAATATGTACTTGAAACAAAGATGCTGACATCTTTGGCTTTTCATCTGATTAAAGTACCACCACCTAACCAACGCTGATAAAGTTCTGGAGCTGTGCTTTTGACTTTGTAATTGTTTTTACTGCTTCGATACTGTTTAGACTCTGTCCAACAAATTTGTTAGCCTTGCCATGAAGCCAAAACTCATTGATTATCAAGCTGAAAAATCCATTTTTTTGCTTGTGGGACACTGGTGACAAAAACTAGATTGATTTTATCAGTCATACCTGAAGTTGGCGTCATAAATAAGTTGTCCATTTTTTGTCTTCAAGTTGGGGAAATCGTATTCATGTGCTGAGAGCTTCATTTATATGTTGTTTCAGGTTGTTGTGGTTGCCCAGATAGTATGCTGGACTGGACAGTTCATTGGGCATGGTGTCTTTGAGGTTTAGTAATCTTCTAATCTTGAAAATTCAGTGATGTCTTATTGAATTTAGTTTTGTGGCTCAAGTGTTGATGATTTGATGTTCTATAGAAACGAGCACCAGCTCTTTTGGACAACCTCATTCAAGCATTTCTAATGGCTCCCTTCTTTGTGTTATTGGAGGTAATAATTGGTTTTTCATTTCATTACTTACACTGGTTTTCGGCAGTTTTCCTTCTGATACGTTCGATTGAATTTTCCTCTGCCCTTTCTCAGACTCTGCAGACCTTCTTCGGTTATGAACCGTACCCTGGATTTCATGCAACTGTTCAGGCCAAGGTTGATACTGAGATCCGTGAGTGGCAAGAGAAGAAGCAGAAGTTACTTAATTAAGTGCAAACCATGATGTCCTTCCAGTTACCTTATTCCATCATATGCATGAATATTTAACTCCTAAATCGCTGTGTACTTGAAATGTTTGAAGCTATCTGTATAAAGCCTTCCTCCGTGTTGAACCAAGAAACTCATATTGGAAATGAGGTGACGAGTTCTTCATTTATTCCTCATTTATGGTGTATGATCACTTTTGTGATGTGTTATGAAAGATTGCTGTTTGATCTATATGGTGATCCCTCATGGTGCAATTAGAACTTTCTTGTTAGTTCAGTTTAGAACTCTGAATTTACAGTAACCATTTTGTGATTTGCATAAATATACTTATATGTCATAAGCATCTAACTGTTTTCAGCTTCAAGCCATGTGCCATCGACAGAATGGTCATCATTCGGTATTGAACTGGGTGATTTGGCACCAAATTGAACTTGAAGAACCTGCACAAAATGGCTAGTGCCATCTTCATTTGGAGATATGCTGAGTCTTTACCAAGGCAGATTCTTGGTCCAGCCTGCAAACACATCAACAGACAGAGAGCTCCCTTTAGCTCCAACCATTACAAGATTGGTTTAGTGGCAAAGTGGTTCCAGAAAAGACTTACTTGAAATGCTGTGAACTTGAAAGGAGACGAGTTCTGGAACAACCCATCTTTCAGCCATCTCTCTGGCTTGAACAAAGCTGCATCAGGTCCCCAGTTATACTCCATCCTTCCCATGGAATAGGGTACATAAGTCACCATGCCTCCGGCTTTCACTTTAGTACCATCTGGTAACACATCATCCTCTAGGATGCCTTTTGGGTCTTGAGGGACTGCTGGGTAAAGCCTAAGTGTCTCTGTAATCACAGCATGGAGGTAATGCAGTTTCCCTAATGAATCATAGTTCAAAAGCCCTGCATACTGCATTACACACTTGTTAAATAGTTCAATGTCATCCACATCATCACATTGAATCAATGTTGCATTCTCTTCATTTGCTCTCTCATTCTCAAATGTTTTGAGCTCCATGTAGAGCTTTTCGGCTACATGTCCATGTGTCATTATCATGTAAACAGCCCATGAGAGAGTTGTGGCTGTCGTGTCTCGACCGGCTATCACAAAGTTGAGAACAACATCTCTTAGGCCCTTGTCTGTCATTTTGCTCTCTGGGTCTTTGCCTAGCTCTATGAACCTTGATAATATGTCTTGTTTCATCTGCCACACGAGAAAGCAAACATATCATTGGTGTCTGTGGAATATGTAGGGTAGTTGTCATTATTGTTGAATGAATAGAACTTACCACCTTGTTATCTTTACAAGGTGCTTGAGCTTCGTCTTCTAGTTCTGTTTTCCTTCTTCGGATTACAGAATACGTGAAATCATTGATTGTTTTGATGCTCTTGTCGAGTAGAGCTTCTGAGCCTGCATTGAACAGCTTCTTGATCCTCCACAAAGGATCGATGAACCGAAGTGTCACGATGATATTTGCAGTATCGAAAGCCTGTGCAAACTGATTTTCTGGTAGGTTCTGTGCAAGAGTTCCTATCTCCACTCCAAACCCGACTTTGCATATTGAATCCAGAGTCATCCTCATAAAAAGTTCCTGTGAAAGAAATTACAGGTCAGATAGTTACAGGAACAAGAATACATTAGACAAACTTCAGTGTTGAATTGAACATTATACCTGAATATCTACTGTTTGGTTGTGGAAAGAAGTTTGAGCGAGAATAGCAGAGAGTTTAAGGCTGTACTCTCTGAAGACAACTGTGCTGAAATCCCTCAAGTTCTTGGAAGCAAATTCAAAGCTAGCTGTTTTCCTTTGTTTCCTCCAGAGCTCACCATCGACGTTGAATATCCCATCTCCAAGCAGAACTTCCATGTATGAATGGTACGTCTCTCCCTTGTTTTCATAGCATATTAACTGTTAGTACCTGAAAATACTGCAGAAGAAAGGTGAAAAATTGGCCGTTCTTTTTAGTTATACCTTTGGATAGTTAGCAAAGTTGGTTTTGAGAACATGCTCAACACTTGCAGGGTCTGCTATGTAAGTGTATGTAGTGGATGGCATTGGAACCACGACAGTCCGAGATTCAGACAAGTAATTGACTAGCCAGTCGTGCATCCTGTCAAAGTTCATCAGCTGCTCAATGGCTGCTCCAACGATTGGCCACGTCTTTGGACCTTTCTTGTTCCTCTGGTTCCATCTGTGCACGAAAACCCACGAGACAAAGAAACAAGCTACCACGAGGAACATGGATAGAAGAGCCCTTTCATCTTCCATTGGACGAGGCTGAAATTAGTAAAAGAGATCAGTACAAGGCAAGGTTGTGATGAATGCAAGAACAAATGCTAGAAAGCTTGAAATCCCAACCAGCTTGATATAAATAAGTTGACATGGATGTACAAGTTGGTGAATGGGCAAAGTTGGTTGGAATTCACTCTTTGCATGATTTTTAAAGACTAGTTGTTCCGCTTGACTAGCAGATGAGAAGTAGATCTATAGTAGAAACGTACTCAGAAAAATGACCAATTTAATGAAGAAAAAATACTTTCTTTCTGGTGGATTTTTTTGAAGGTACATAACTCATATTTACAAATTTCTAAAAAAATCAAGATCTAGAGTTGTCCATCAACTTGTTATCTGTGGAATTCATTTCTGGACTTTTTCCAGAAATAGCACTGTTTAAAAAAAAAATCAAAAATAGCATCCAACTCCAAAAAATTCAAAAAATAACACCTTTTGGCGGCGCGGTTTTCGATGAAAATCGCACGAGTAGGGGCAGTTTTGCTGACCGCGTGGGCCCGGGGCGGTTTGGTTGCAAGCCGCACCCCCACCCGGCGGTTTGTATTATATATATATATTTTTTTTTCGAATAAATACCATAAGTGGTCTTAGCACAATATTGTGTACAAGACGTCCTAGTTTCGAATTCCAATCATCCTATATTAAATTTTTTATTAGTAAAGATTAAAAAAAGCCACATGTTGTTGAGATGGTGGTTCAAAACCAGATATAATAAATAGTTAACTAACTTTAGGACAATATCTACACCACCAAACTACAACTCTTCTTTTGCAACAATAATATATTGACAGTTTTATTCCTTCAACGCTATAAATCCTCGTCAAACTTTAGACAACCATAACTTTGTGCTCCAAAATCCGAACGTCATGAACTTTTTTTCATTTCGCATAACTTTTTAAGGACTACAACGTTTATCATAGACATAATTTCGGAATGTACGTGGATTTGTGAAAAGGGAAGGTAAGTTATTCCCAAAACCCTGTATATCCAAAAATAATTCCTGTTTTGAAACTTCATTCCTAGTAAAAATTGTAGTGCTTAAAAAGTTATGCAAAATGAAGGAAAAAAAAATTCATGACGTTTGGATTTTGGAGCACAAAGTTATGGTTGTTCAAAGTTATTGAGGATTTTTAGCATTCAAGGAATAAAACTTTGGCAATATGTTTTTGTTTCAAAAGAAGAGTTGTATTTTGGTGGTGTAGATGTTGTGTTAAATTTAATTAACTATTTATTATATTTGGGTTCGAACCACTATCCCACAACATGCTCCTTTTTTTAATCTCTACTGAATAAAAAAACTTAATATTGGATGATGGGGATTCAAACCTGTGACTTCTTGCACACAATAAACAACTAAACCAGTTGTGTCAAGACCACTTATGGTATTTATTCGGACCACTTATGGTATTTATTCGGAAAAATATATATAATCCAAACCGCCGGGTGGGGGTGCGGTTTGCAACCAAACTGCCCCGACTTCACGAGGTCGGCAAAACAGCCCCCACCCATGCGGTTTTTGATCCGCGTCCCCGGGTGGCGATTTTCATGAAACGGTGTTATTTTTGGAATTTTTTGAGGTCGGATGCTATTTTTGGAATTATTTTTTAAAACAGTGTTATTTCTGAAAAAAGTCCTTATCGAACCCCGATAGTAGTTGGAGTCTAAAAAAAAAATGGAAAAAAATAATTGTGGCTTATGGGATTTGAAATTGTGACACCCTACTTATTAACTAACAAGTTTTCCATTAGATTACATTTCATTTATTATTATAATTTTAAGATATTTATAATCATAACCATTTGAATTTTATCCTCAATTTGACAACAAAACCCTAAGATTAAACACGGCTCCTTTATCCTAGAGAGTTTGGTCATCTTTCCGACTCTTTTCTTCTACGGGACTTTGAGAATTACTATCATTGTGTTAAGAGTGATGAGTTATTTCATGGATTAAAAGGAATTGATGAATTATGTCAGTTGGTGGTGAAGACAAAAGTGAATCTATCATATCCATGGGTATATTTGCTTCTCAAAGTTATATTGACTTTTCCGGTTGCAACTGAAAGTGTTGAAAGAGCCTTTTCAGCTTTGGGTTACATTAAGAACAAGCTTCAGAAAGAGCAACTTCCTCCCTGGTCGTTTTTATTCATCTTGGTAGAGATTCTCATTATTTGGTAATCTAATTCATACCGACATTTATCACTTCAAAAGTCATAGTGCTTCCTTGTCACACTACTTTGACACCTTCTTGATTCCGTAGTCCTCCTAGAGGAATCTCCTCATTCGTAGATCAGCATATCCCCTTAACTTCCAAACATACTATAGGCATTTCCTCTATTTAGGCACCCATGTTTTCGCACTTGACAATTCGTCAATTTGATGGTTTGGCCCACAAACCGGTTGGTCAATCCAACTCCTATAAGGAGTCTGCGATGACTCCTAACCAAGAACAAGAGTCCTTTACCTCCATAACTTCAAAATAATTACCCTTTTCTTGGGCTTGGGGGAGGAGGGGGGGAGGAGAATAAATCCTTATCCCATAAGGTTGATGATATGTCCTTTGTAAGGGCATACTTCCTCCTGCTACTGAAACCACAAAAATTCTCAAATCAAAGGTGGAGGAAGTCAAGGCCATCAAAGAGACAAAAAAGGACCATTATCCCTGCTTGAGAGGAATGGTGGCTCGACTAAACAAATGTCATCAAATTTGGCGGTCACGACGCTATTTTGACACCTCAAAGAAACTCTAGTTTTGAAATTACAACATGTTTAAACGAGTTTCTATATGTGTTTTCGTAGGAGAAGAATATGATGCGATCATTGAGATGTCTGACCTCGTGCAAGCAATGGAAAAGATTCTCAACGGGGAAGAACCCCCCCCCCCCCCCCTCTCAAAAGCTAACAATGGATAACATACCTCCTTACATGTACCTCATAGTACTTGACTCGTCTCGAATACCACAATAATTTCCCGCCTAAGGTCCAAGTATAAACCTAAGTCGGGTGCAGTACAGGATAAGTATGTTTAAATATCAACCTGGGTTGGTCCGTGTACCCGTACTTCAGTCATTTGAATCATTATTTAGCAACAAAGTTTTGGTTGAAAAGTTTGTTAATTAAAATAAAACAAGACAAAGGTAAATGGTTTTGAAAGCTCTTTGTGAGAAGGATCACTCGGGTGTCGCTTCCCCCTAACTACTACCATGGTATGTGAATTGTAACGATTGCTATGAGCAAGGTAACCGCGAACCGCAGAGGGATGAAAATATGGTCGTAGACCACATTCTCGAACGCTAAACCGAGGTATACATTATAGGCCATGTCACTCGGCCCTCTCGTTTTAGGAGATCGGTGGTTGACTTACTCCCTCACTCAACTCAAGGGTTGACGGCTTAATCAAGCTTAACCAATTTGCTTAATTCAACATTGAGGTTTTCCCTAAATCAACCTAGTTAGGTGGCTTGAAAATCTAAAGGAAAACCAACTGGATTGAGTCTCCCTTGGAAGGGGGATTTTCCTCTCTAATCTAGATTAAAGTGGCTAATTATATTGCTAAGGACCAACATGCACAAACCTAAGGATGCTAAGCACAATTATGCACAATCCTTAGGTTGCTAGGCACCAACATGCACAAACCTAAGGATAGGGCTGGGATTCGGTTTTCCGGTTAACGATTGTCGGATGGAAATCTGGGACGACGGTACACCGGAACCCGCATGTTAACTAACCGACGGAAACCCGATTTATCGATACCAGATTTGCAGGAGCGGTGACGCAGTATCAATGCTAATTCCCCACTGTCCATTCCCAAATCTCGACCCCATTCCAGATTCTCCTAATTAATAAAATTGGTTATCTATTAGGAAAAGGAATTACAGGTTACTAATTTAGCAATTCTCCTCCCCTCTCGCTCTCTGTCTGCCTAACCCAGCCCTCACGAGTCTCCCGCCGCCCAATTGGAACCCCAATCGGTAATCTTTGCCTCTTTGACGCCTGTGTAATCAGACCGACAAACCACGACATAGCAGGCTAGCAGCCAACACCGCAACTCTCCGTCGACCCCACCGCGTCTTCTCCATCGACCCCAGCACGTGTCCCTGAACCAGTCTCCTATAACATCGTCAATTTCAGGTTGGTTGTCTTGTTGACTGCTTGTATGATGATGTTGTCGGTGCAGCTTCCCCGCGACAGCAGCTTTAGTGATATTGTTTGTTTAATTGATTAATTAATTCCACCGTCGGTGCAGCTTCCCTTGCCGCAGCAGCTTCCTGTTTTTTATTTTTGAAGGGGACGAGCCAGAGAAGAGGGGTAGAGAAAGAATACATGTGGTGTAAATGATATTTGAAGACTGGTGATTGATTTTTGTCTTCGTCCCATACCTTTCTGTCTTTCTTTTATGAGCTCCACCTGTAGTGTAGACGTGTAGTGCATGATGAGATGGCATGTTTCCATAATTGATAATTGAATAATGGAGCAGAAAAGAAAATGAAAGAAAGGTTTCAACTTTCAAATTTCAGTGTTTTACCAATCACCATCGTCCACCAAGGCATTAGCCAATTCCCAAGTGGAGTAGACATATGAAAATTCCCAAGTTCCCAACTCACAAAAATGGGAAAGCAAAGCAGCAAAAAATAGGCTAGTCCTCCTCATCATTCGTAATCAGCGCATCCGGTAATCGGGTACCCGGATAATTACCGCCACCGCAGCAATTCGGTAACTGGTTTACCGAGGGAATATCGATATCGGCAAACGGTGGGGCTGCCATGCTTCCGGTATACCGGAAACCGGTCGATTGGTAACCGGTTTAACCGGTTACCGACCGTTTATAAGCCCTACCTAAGGATGCTAAGCACAAAACATGCACAATCCTTAGATTGCTAAGCACAAGCATGCACAATCACATTAATAATACCTCAATCATTGAATTAAACAATACCCAATGACAATCATCCAGTTCACATAAAAGAAACTACATGGTAGCTAGTTAGGGTTTCACAACACCCAAGTGAAAAGAAATATACTCCATGCTAGAAATGGGAGAAACACAAGGAGAAGAAGTAGAAACCATCTTGGGGGAGGCTTCCAATCTTCTAGACCATTGTGCTGAACTTCTCTTGGGGAGAATCTCCCCAAATCCCACCTCGAAGCAAAACCCTAGCCTCCTTCTTATTTGGTTTGTCTTGCATTAGTAACTTGCATTTTGGCCCTGGGCGCCTCAATATTCACGGACAACGACTCTTTTTCACGGTCATACAAGACCGTGAGCATCCAAGGAAAACCGTGAACTCGCCGTTTTTCATCTCTTCTCCTGGTTTTCGCTCCTTTTCGTCCAACTTTCGACTCCGGGGCTGGTTTCACCTATTAAATCCTGAAACACACTAAAACACGAGAAACCAAGCGTAAAACCACCCTTTTAGGAGCGAAATTGCTACAAACGACTAAGGAAAATGGGTGCAAAACATGTACAATTAGGCACGAATCACCCCCCCACACTTAGACGTTTGCTTGTCTCCAAGCAAACCATTTCACACAAGGTAATATTTCAACCTTCACAAATACTTTGAGGACATCTCAAAGGGTACAAAGTGGGAATTCTCAATGGCCATTTGCAGTCAATACATGGATTGTTGCAAGCAATACCGACATTTACCACAAACGACATTCGAAGCCACCAAAAATGGGAAACGAAAAGTTCTCACCTTGTTCATGGATCAATGCAAGTCTCAACAAGACCACTTATCAACTACAACCAACCATTCATGGAATTCAAGTCCGAGGAACAAATGGAAAGGAAACAAAGGTCCTCACCGGGGTATGATATGGCATGCAAAACAAGAATGAATCACTCACTCTCATGACCAGTGGGGTCGAGACCTTTTGGTGAAAAGATGTGCAAAATCATAAACACTCGGCTCTATTCTCAATACCACGACGGTAACCTCTAAATGATAGAGTTCACGCGATGGTTGTCACCACTAGCTTGTCCGGAGGTCTTAGACGCGGTTTTAGATGTCTGACGATTGTCTTGGACATGGGAAAAAGGATTTTTGGGTGGTGGCAATCATGACACGAGGTTCTACATCTTCAACCTAAACCCGAACGTTCTATGGTTTCGATTAAAACCCTTCTCTTCAACCAAATACCACTAGAATCGGCCAAAAACCTTATAACTCCCTTCCAAACTATCACCCATCATGAACTACATTGAAGCACTCTTCCTCGGTCTACTCTTGCTAGCACATTAAGGTTTGGTAGTGAAGGAGATCTAAAACAATGTGGGGGGTTTCAATGGCTTGGGTGCCAAGAAACCCCTCCTAGAGCATGTACTTTGGTTTTTCATGGCACTCTCTACTTTATTTACCCCATTTGATTACCTCTTTTTCGTTTCTCTTTTCTTTTCTTTTCTTTTCTTTCTTTTTCTTCTCTTTTTGAGGGGGTACTATAGAGTAAAAACACTTGCCACCTATACATTTAACGACCAATGCTCTCTTTTTGAAGAACTCACTCCAACACTACACTTCATTTTTCGTTCCTAGCAAGAACCGCACACAAACCTCCTATGTAGAACCGCTAAGGAACTCAAAAGTGAGAGCTCCGGGACACAAGGACCAATGCAGTCAAAGTCGAGATTTTGATCGTAAAATCGTAGGATTTTAGGATTTTACTTAGGGATTCCGATCCTTATTTTACTATAAAATTGATAGACCTTAAAATCGTTCAAAATCGGCTTTAAAATCGTAAAATCGTACCAAATCGGAATTTTGATCCTATGTGAACAAAATAGGCGGTTTGAGCCAATTCAAAAGAAGCAGACCTGTTTCGGCGAAAAGGCCAATGACGAGGATCTTCTAAGATATTTTCCTATTAAATGAACATTTGAAAAGAAAAAAAACCAAATTAGGATTCAGTCGACCCTTTTCCCTTCCCCTTGTTTAACTCATCGGAAAATCGTTGTCATAATATTATAAATACATAAGAATTAACATCATTATTAAAAAATTAATTGATTAATGAATATATTTGTACCAAACCAATGACATTAATTATTTTATTGAAGTTCACTTATTCTTAGTTTTAAATCATACTTAGTAGATGATGTCAGAATACTACTTTGAGTTAAACTACCTAAACAACAAGAGGCAAACCCCATGAGCTCTATTCCTTTCTCATAAATTATTTTGAGTTACGCATTAAATAACAATTAAAATGTTAATTTTGAAATATTAATCTTGAAAATTATCATTTTAAATGTTTTATTTCTTTGTTTTATTAATGATTTGCCTTATTAATATTATTATATGTTAATTTCTATATGGTACTTAAAATCCTACGATTCTAGGATTCGATTTTACGATTTCGATTTTACCCCAGTTTTCGATTTTAGCTAAAATCTCAATTTTGACTGCTTTGACAAGCAAGAAGCTCCTAACTTAAGAACGACCCTCGAAGTCACAAGGCTCAAAGGGGTTGACTAAGGGATGACACATTTCGAGACAATCAACGTTTGGGCGTGGACTAATCTTATGCCTCCATCATACTCACTAGTGAAAACTATGATGTTACTCACCATGGTAAGAGGGATCTAAGAACGCAAGAAGAAAGCAAAAGAAGTGGCTATGACTTAACCTAGGTGTAGGGTGCTAGACAGGTCCACCATGCAAGAACAAGCTAATAAGATTCTCTCAGTTATCTTGTTCGGGTTGTGGTAAGCCGGGTAGAGGGAACGAGCCAGGAGTGCAACGATGACACGCCACTGGGGCTGGAGTGTGGATGACGTTGTGAGGGCCGACTTAAACTTTGTCCTTCGGTACTTTGGAAGACAAAACTTCACAAATGCGGCATTCATGTCGAAGCTTTGGGTGGCATCTTCCTCCCAATCGTCCTCATGTTTGGCTTCCACTCCAAGGGCTCTGGCTAACTCATCATAGCTCAAATTGCAAAGTTCCCCTCCCAATCGAAACTCGACCCAGCGTACTGGATGACCGAGTAGGCAAAGGCTCTTGCGTATGGTTAAAGTGATGAAGAACTCGACGCATAGTTCCCCGTAAATGTCATCTTCAAGATCAAGGAATTGGCACCATTGTGGGTGCACCACTGCCTCCCTCATAACCACAATGAAGCCTCTCGAACTGGGCGAAGTCGAGTTTCCAATGGTTACCGACTCTCGAGGATGCCCAAAAACACGCCTCTTTCCATTTAAGGGCAGCCCCTTAGCGCCACAAGGAATGGGTGGTCCATGTTAACCATCCTGCACAAACTGAGAAACATACACCATACGTGGAAACATTCATAAAATAATGCTCATTGGGAGGAAAAGTGATCCCTCCACACTTATTTTTCCACCATGAATATCAAACATTTAAGCTCAAGCTCATCATGGCATGGTTGTGGAAAATTCACAGTTCAAGCACACAAAAATTTGAACCACAACCCAAACCACGGTGGCTACCATCCACCAAACAAGCATAAACTCCACTTGCATTCATAACATAGCACTTGGTGGGCAAATTCTAAAAATAAAGGCAATTCGGATCAAACACGCCCACCAAGGCTCAACTAAGCTCATGCAAAAAACATTCCATCATTAAATAGACCTAATTCACCTAATTCCTCGACCTAAATCTAGGTTCAACATTCAAAGCACACAATTTTTCCTCACTTCACTACCTAATCCGATTCTCCACAAATTAATAAGGTAAAGCTGAAAAACCAACCTAGAGACGCAAGTAGGACGTAGGAGGAAGTGAAGTGTGGGCAAGAATGCAAAAAACGACCGAAAACCAGACCGGAGAGTGGTCACCGGAGCTTCGTCGGAAGCTCATCGGAGACTTGCCGCCGGCGAATTGACTGGACAAAAGTTGCCCAAAATCTCCCCAAAATTTCAGCATAGGCCGGTTTTGATGAGGGGAGAATGGGTATGACTTTTTTTGTTTTGTTTTTGCGCACCAGTAATGGGGGTAAAATCGAAAAAACGATGGAGTTTCGGGTGTTTCCGGCAATGATTTGAAATTTTCCGGCAAGATTTGGTCGTGAAGTGAAGAGTCGCCGTTCACGCCCCTTTTATAGGCACAACTTGGAGTTCACAGACGAGTTGCCTTGTTCACGGTCTTAGCGACCGTGAACACTCAAATGTGTTCGTGAACTGGGGTCGGTCGACAGGTGGTGAACATGCAGAAGCATCCAGGTCATGGACGCATTTTCTTGTTCACGGTCTTGTAAGACTGTGAACACCGCAATCCGTTCGTGGACATCAGAGAAAACATGACACTTCTGAGAAAAAATTGACTCAACCTATTCCACCGTGCCTCCTAATCGATCACAACACAACCGTAAATCGCAAAACCACTAAACTTGGGACGGGGACACCACTTGACCACTTGAACTCTTCACTTGACACAAAAACAAAAATAAGGAAAAGATAACAAACCTTCGTTGGGTTGCCTCCCAACAAGTGCTAATTTAGCATCATTAGCTTGATGGTTGGGGATCAATCACGACTTTGAACGTGATGCCACCGAGAGCGGATCCATCACACTCTCGGGGCGAGGCTTGTAGCCTCCCATCTTAGGCTCTTTGAGTTGGCCCTCTTGATTGGCCAACGTTGCTTCGGGCTCCCCCATCTTCCAGGCCAAAGCTCCCTTCATCCTTCGCCTCCAAGCATTCATCCTCGATCCCTTGGGTATGAGTGGCATATCCGAGTCCTCACATATTTCGAGAATCACGAAATCGCTCGGATAGCAAAACTTGCCCACTCGCACCATCATGTCCTACACTATATGACTCGCATGAAACTACACCACAAATTAGTCCCGACTAGAGCCCAAGTTTTTAAATGCTAGTCGGGTGCAGTATAGAGCAAGTATTGAAATTGTCAACCCGGGCCGATCCATGTACCCCTACTTCAATCGCTTAGGTAGTTACCTAGCAAGCAACTTTAGGGTTTAGGTTTATTGGAACTACAACTAACCAAGCAAAGAAAAGTAAATGAAGGAAAATTTCAACTAAGGGAGCTTCACCCAGGAGTTGCTTCCCCCTAACTAGCTACCAAGACTCGTTGGATTGGAACGATTGCCTTAGGCACGTTAATCGTGAACCGCAGAGGAAACCGTATGTGGTCGGAGACCACAGTCTCAATTGCTAAACCGAGGTGAGGATGAAAGGCCGTGTCACTCAACCCTCTCGGTTTAGAAAATCGGTAATTGGCTTACTTCCTCACTCAACTCGAAGGTTGGACGGTTTAACTACAATTAATCGACTTGTTTTAATTCAATATTGAGGGGTTCCCTAACTCAACCAAGTTTAGGTGGCTTAGAAAGCGGAAGGAAAACCAACTCGATTGAGTCTCCCTTGATAGGGGTATTTTCCTCTCTAAACTAGGCTCTAAGGTGGCAAATTAGATTACTAGCACCTAAATGCACAAACTTAGGGGTGCTAAGCACAATTATGCACAATCCCTAGGATGCTAAGCACAAAACATGCACAACCCCTAAGTTGCTAAGGACAAGCATGTACAATCATGGTGAATAATGCCTCAAACATCGAATTAACCAATACCCAATGACAATCATTCAATCTAGACAAGTAATTACAAAGTATTAGTTAGGGATCTACAACACCCAAAGAGAAAAGAGTGAGTTTCTAGAGAGAGAGAGAGAGAGAGAGAGAGAGAGAGAGAGGGATTACAAATTTAAGCTCAAGTCTTCTTCTTCTTCTTCTTCTTCTTCTAGGCTTGAATCTTCCACCCAAGCCTCCAATGATGCTCCAAGATCACTCTAGCACTCTCTCTCTCTCTCTCTCTCTCACACACACTAGAACTCCCCTTTGGTGTTTAGGTTGAAACCCTAGAGAAAGAAAGTGTTTCTTCTCCAAAAACTAGCTCCCTCTCTCTCTCCTCGCTGTTTTCTTCATATTTTCCCGAGAGTGACCAGTTCACGGACACGTTAGCCAGTTCACGGCTGTGAACACCTAAACGCATCCGTGAACTCAGTATCGTCCAAAACGCGCCACTTCACTCGCCTGGTTTCACGGTCAATGGCCTCAGTTCACGGTCTTAGAGACAGTAAACTGCCTTGTCGTCAGTAACTTCACGAACCTCGTTGGATTGCTCGATGTTCACGGTTTGTGGTCCAAGTTCACGGTCTTAGGAGACCATGAACTGCCTTGTCCGCCCGTGAACAGCGGCAGTTTCTTGGGACATCTTCACTTCACTGTTACGATGCAATTGTCACCGACTTCGGACTTTTCTTCGATTTTAGCACTTATTTACTTTCAATTTTCCCAAAATTCGTCCTCGACCCTTCCACACGTGCTAGGACCTGAAATGTATCAAAACTAGGGTTGAAAATGAGCCGAGCTAAGCCGAGTTTTTCCCCAGTTTGAGCTTGACTCATTAACAAATGAGTTGAGCTCGAGCCTGAGCCATTTATTAACGAGCATAGTCGAGTCGAGTTCTAGCTAGGCTTGTTTACTAAATTCTTAGATCGTATTTAATACATTCATTTTTTATGTCGAGTATGGTACATGTGATTGATGTAGCGATAAAAAAATAATCAAATGTTCAACATTAATTAATCTTATATTATAATTTCTAGGTGTCATATTGTTTAGTTAATAAATTTTAACTAGTTCAAATCATGTTATTTCATAGTATCGAAACAATTTTATACATAATTTCTTTATAGAATTAAAAATAAGGCATATTTTCTTACATGTTCAACATGTTAAACATCACATGATGTGAGATATATAATTTAACAATCCTTTGAATTATGAAATTCCAAATTAGATCGATTAGTCCATAAGTCAGTGATCAAATTGGCCCTCAAACCACAATGTTGAGACATCTCATTAGCTCTAAATGAGCCAACTCATGAGTTGAGCTCAACAAGCCACCGAGTCGAGCTAGCTCGCGAGCTTCACGAGCTGAACATAGCTAGGCTCAAGCTTGGCTCTTCAGTAAACGAATCGAGTTTCGAACGAGTTTTTCCCGATTCAAGCCTCGAGTTGCTCGCGAGTAGCTTGGCTCATTTGCAGCCCTAATCAAAACAAGCACAACCCAGCATGAAATATGTCGAGGAACGATGAAATACTAAGCTAAATGAATAAGGAATGAGGGGTAAAATGTGTACATTTGGGTCCGAATCACTATACCTCTCGAGCTAATGAGCGAACGATCGGCTAAGGTGATGCTAAGATTGGTGGTCTTAAGTTCACCTACTTCTAACTTTTTGAAAAGCTTGTAGGGCATCACATTAACAGTAGCTCCTAGGTCCGCCAAGGCATTGTCTATATGATGGTTGCCAATATCAAGAGGTATAGTAAAGCTACCTGGGTCGGACCGATTTTTGGGCAAGAGGTTGAGGAGGTAAGCCGAACACTCCTCGCCAAGAGTCACGTTGGCGAGGCCTTCAAGCTTTGGCTTCTTGGCGAGGAATCCCTTCAGGTACTTGGCATGTCTTGGCATTTGAGCCATGGCTCCAAGGAAAGGGATGTTGAGGTGGAGGTTGCAAAGCATTTCCATGAAACCTCCACACTCGTTCTCCAACCTATCCTTGTACATCCTTGTGGGATAAGAAAGAGGTGGCGTGTACTCCCCCACCGGTGATGCCTTTGTTGCCGCCTTCCTCTCCTTCCTCGAAGGCCTCTTCTCTCCCTTCTTCGGGTTGGCCTCTTCCTTGTTGGTATCTTCATTCTCCATCACTTCATTAGAGGCGACTTCCGGAACCACCTTCACACTCCTCACTTGAAGTGCATTTACCCCGGCATGGTCCTTGGGGTTATCCACGGTTTGGGAAGGTAAAGCTCCCTTGGGTCTCTCGGTGAGAATCCCGGCAAGGTTGTCGATTTGCACCTCCAAGATTTGGAGGCTCGCTTGATGGCTTCGGAGACCTGCCCCAACCGAGGTAAACTTGGTAGTCGCCACATCCATAAATTGCTTTATCTTCTCAAACTTTTGGCTACTCGTACTCACAAAGGTGTTCACTAGGTTTTCAAGCTTAGATAGCTTGTCGGTTTGTTGTTATTGTTGAAACCCTAGGCCACCTTGTGCTTGGTATGGTTGTTGGAAGCTTGAGCCTTGAACTTGGGGCCTTTGTTGGATGAAGGTCGGCCGAGGTTGGAAATTTCCCGTGGGGCTTTGAAAGCATTGGGGCCTCGGATTCGTCGGTGATGCCCAAGCAAAATTTGGCTGGTTCCTCCATCCGGAGTTATAAGTATTTCTATACGGGTTGTTAGCCCTAGCATTTGCCACGAAGTTGACTTGTTCCTCCTGGGAAGTTTCCTCCTTCATTGCTTCACACTCCGCCATCTCATGGCTAGTGCTCTAGGGATGGAAACAAAACCCGAACCCACGGGTTCCCACTCGACCCAACCCGGACAACGCTGGTAAAATCCGTGTTGACGGGTTTTGGTTTAAACCCGTTCACTATTCATCTGGTTGGGTTGGGTTGGGTTTGGTTTTAGGTAAACCCAACCCATGGGTACCCGCCCACACTCATATAATTAATTTTCTCGGTATATTTAATAATCTAAACAACTAATCTTATTTATGTTTGTGGAGATATTTCTAATTTTTTCTTCCTAATTGTGTAGAATGAAGTTGATGTTATCGAGTGGAGAGTGAAGGGTGAAAAAACTTAATTGAAATGAAGAAGCTTTCAATTAATCATGTTATTTATGGATAATTTGTGATTTGTTTCAATTTTCTTGAGTTTTCTAGATTGGTGTTGAACAATTTGTATAGTTAATTTGTGATTTGCTTGAATTTTCTAGAATGGTGTTTTATATATGGATAATTTGTATTGAGAGATTGATATTTGACTTTAATTTGATAGAAACTTGTTATTGTAAACTTTTTACGACAAAAACCCGTGGGTACCCATGAACCCACGGATACCTAGAGGGTAGGGTTGGGTTTGAGTTTTACCCTGGGTTTTTTTTCATGGATAAACCCATTGGTTTGGGTTTGGCAAAACCTGACCCAACCCGACCCATTGACATCCCTATAGTGCTCGAGCACCATTCGCACGACATCACCAACATATTTCCTTGCATCTTATCTTCAAGCATAACCTCTATCAACTTATCCAACTTCGCCTCAAGCGGAGCACTCGCTCCCACGCTTCTCACTCGCCTTTCATTGCTTCTCCTCCCCTTGGAAGGGGGATTTTCCTCTCTATTCTAGGTTAAAATGGCTAATTAGATTGCTAAGCACCAACATGCACAAACCTAAGGATGCTAAGCACAATTATGCACAATCCTTAGGTTGCTAAGCACCAACATGCACAGAGACCTAAGGATGCTAAGCACTAAACATGCACAATCCTTAGATTGCTAAGCACAAGCATGCACAATCACACGAATAATACCTCAATCATTGAATTAAACAATACCCAATGACAATCATTCAATTCACATAAAAGAAACTACATGGTAGCTAGTTAGGGTTTCACAACGCCCAAGTGAAAAGAAATATACTCCATGCTAGAAATGGGAGAAACACAAGGAGAAGAAGTAGAAACCATCTTGGGGGAGGCTTCCAATCTTCTAGACCATTGTGCTGAACTTCTCTTGGGGAGAATCTCCCCAAATCCCACCTCGAAGCAAAACCCTAGCCTCCTTCTTATTTGGTTTGTCTTTCTCTCCCTAGAAATCTGAAGAATGCTTTCTCACACAATGGGCTCCCCCCCTCTCTTCCTTTCAACTGAGCTTTTAAACAGTGAACGAGCTCAGTTCATGGCCTAAGTTCACGGCCGTGAACTCTGAAACATGGCCGTGAACTTCGGATGGGCGGCGAAACGCATCACTTTAATTCCACGGGTTCACGACCAACAACACTTGTTCACGGTCTTAGCACCCGTGAACTGAATTAGCGTAAGTAACTTGCATTTTGGCCCTGGACGCCTCAACGTTCACG